AATTAAATTTAATTAGATTGAGAGAGAGGTGACATGAACAAAAAGAGTGGAATCCCACTCTACAGAAGATGACAAGACAAAGCTGAGTTTACTTGTTTTGCCTCTCTTGTCTTTTTTCCTTCACTCGCTTTAGCTTCCACATATCACTCTCATCAAACTAATGCTAGGGAAATTGCACAGTTACGTGTTTGTACATATATATCATTTCTATTCGTAGTGCTCAAATATAGAGCATGTTACTACATGAATATTTTTGTACGATTTTGCCCGATTTGACAATTCTAAGATGGAGACTTTTTCTGAAAATATTTTATTTTTCGACCCCAACAAAACAGAAAAGTAGATATGCTTAGATTTGTGACTATAAACATTTCTGACTTTAGGATTAAAGTTTGAGTGTAGGGAATTTCAAACACACAATCTCTTATAAACTCAAATTCTAATAATTAAGAGTGTATTTCTCAACAAATTCTACCGTATTATTCAATAGAGTTTAGGGTTCTTTAGTTTAACAGGGCAGTCAGAGATATATAGGCTTTTTTTTGTTTATGATTTTGAATATAGAATTCCATCTAAATCATTTTACGTTGGATTTGGTCAAAATTTTAGCAGTTCAAAAACTTTTCTGACCAGAGTCGCAAGATATTTTAGATAATAATTGAAGTTCGAGAGTAAACCGAGTTGGACTGTCCCAATTAACACCCCTAGATAATGAACACATCTCAATTAATTGTCGGGTCTTTGGATCATGCGTTTGTTTAATCACTTTCACAAGTAAAGATGTGTAGGACATAGAAAGAACTTAAACTAAACAGTTGTGTCTTTGTTCCTTCTACTTCATTTGGTTGATGTTTCATAATGCGACGCATAAACTAATATAATAATATATGGATATGTAATCCTCATGCAGCTGTTACCCATTGGTGCTAGTACTGGTCGGGTTATCAAGTACCATTATTTAATTTTTATTATAACATATAATTAACTTTTTTTGCTTTTGAATTGACCTAATATATATATGTATAGGTGGAAAATAAATAAAGTAGTACTCGTAATCTTTGAAAATGTTTACTTATCCAGAATAAAGTGATATACCTCTTGAATCCAATAATTGTAGTCATTCAACAAGGTTATAAGTGCATCCGTATACTCTATCAATCAATCACTCACACACGTACGTGTCACGTTTAAATGTGTCGAACACAAACTATAGGCACACAAATACTACATACAAAATAATAAATATACGTAAGACTTTTTTGGTAAAATATATACATAAGACTTTTTAGGGTAACTTTAGACTTTAGCAGGTAATAGACCATGAGATCTTAAAGATATTATGTCGTTGAATTTGCAAAGAAATAATAACACATTTGTATAATTCAAGCTTAAGAGATTTTGTACAAGTCCAAATCCAATGATTACACAGTACACTATTCTCCAATCTTTCAAAAATGGCGAAGATTGGTAAAAAAACTGAGTAAACAAAAAAAGTAAGATCAAAATTAACAAGATGAAAAAAAAAAAGAAAAAGATCAAGAGTTATCATCGGAAGAAAGAAGCATAGTGATGCAAATTCTGATGATATGAAGCTTTGCTCTCTGTTGCCTCACTGTCCTCCTCATCTTCTCCAGCCTCTCTTTCATCTTTTCCATCAACTGACTCATCAATTTTCCAGATATGTTGGATACCAACATGGCAACAGATAGTTACACACACGCATACATTTATATACATGCAAATACCTGCACGTACGAACAAAGGAAGAAGCGACAATCCCACACCTATACACTTGAGTTCAACCTCCAACACTATATACAAAGTGTCCAAACACCATGAAACTCTGTCGGAATCCTACGTGCTCAAGATACTTGTTTTTGTGTGTGACTTTAGTTTATTTATGATTTACACCATACAGTTTTGTGTTTGTGGGTGGATGTACAACTATACATACAAAAAGCTAGCTAGGTATTAATTAATCTTATATATAAAAGATGACCAAATGTTTTGCAATCTTTGACATCATCACTTCTTTAAATGATATATAAATAATAAATAATCATATACTCTTTTCTTTCTTTTTTTGTTAATAAGAAAGTTTAGGTCTCTTTATACCAAAATCTCATTCGATTTGAGACCAGCCTTTACTAGTACCATTAGAGCGGAAACCATTCCTCTCAAGTGAGTCTTGAACTTGGGAACAAAATCTCAACTTTCCTCCTAAGGGAATTCTTGAAACCAAGTGAACTATCACCATTTGTTGTTGTTGTTGTTCTTTTTTTCTAAAAAAAAAAATCTTTTAAATACTCGTATGATACAACTTATTAAGTATATATATATATATATCTTTTAATTAAAAAATTAGAAACACAAGACTAATTTTCCAAGCATACTACTCGTTAGATTCAATTTCAAGTATGCTTAGAGACATTTTCAAACACCTAATTAACAAAGCATACGCGATATTAGCATGTGACTCAAATGCATGTAAAAGATAGGAACCCATGAATTTAGTTTTGAAACAAACTAAAAGATAATCTGCGTGGATGGTTCATCTTTTTTCTTTTGTCAACAACTCGATTGATATAGTGTGTTATAATAATAATGAATGAAAGTAAAATGGATTGGCGCATGGATGGAGAGGGTCCACTTGTAGGTTGGAGAGTGAAGCAAGTTCACGTGCTGATCGTCATGCAACTCTTTGAATATTTGCATAAATACACGTTCTTAAACTCATCCTCCATGTTCTCTCACTCTACTTTTGTCCTCCTCCACTAACTTGTCATTTCTTAACTTTTTCAATTTTGGGTCGATTATCTCAATTAATTAACATTATCTATTTTATATGTAAATGTCTTCTTATCATCTTTTTCACATAATATGCATTAATGCTTATGTCTACAATCTACGTTACACCTTCAAGATTGGTGAGTTAAAAGATTACTTCCATTTTTCTGTGTGATTCACAATCCTATAGATTGTAATTTGTAAACATGATAACATTATTAATTGAGCTAAATATAGGTAAATATGGTCAAGGAAAATAAGAAATCATTTCAGAAAAAATAATAAGAATAATAAATTAAATAAATAAATCATAACAATGATAACAAAAAGACAAAAAAAACAAAAACTAAATAGTGATAGTAAAAGACAACTACCTTTTCTGTTTATGACTTATCTTCAACAATTAGCTTCAATATTGGTTGTGTTAGCCCTACAAGCTGTCCGTTTCATATCTTGTACACAGCACAAAACATATAATCTTCTTGTCTTCCAAAATCTGTTTCTAAACAGAAGAGCCTCTTTAACTAATTAATCTTCACCACAAGTATATATATATATATATATATGATTAATTAAAAGCATGCATTTTCGTTTAGATTGGGGATGTTGTAATGGACTACAAGTATGTGGACCAAACATATACTAATTTTTAACATTAAAACCTAAGAAAAAAGAAGATATAATCAAAAAAATTTTATATATGAATCATATAATAATATGATAGCCTGGATCGTGTCTTAACCATTTTAGACCAACTAGTAAATCAGGACCCTCTTTTAGAATCAGAATTATCTTGCTCATTGCTCATTGCCGGTAACTGGATTTTTTAATTTAGTACTGAAAGGTTTCATGATTTGCAAAGTTTTGTTCACTTTGAGTATGTTATCATAATTCTCTTTAACTTAGCTTATTAGTGTTTATTACAGTCGTATGAGTCTTATGGTTTTGTGGGGAAAACAGATTCACATATTTGTTGTGTCATATGTCCTGAGTCATTTGTTGCTTTAAATGAGGTTTCTAAATTATTATATGCAGTCGAAATTATATAAAAACCCATTCTATAACTACAAATAATCATTAACTCTACCACATACGATAATAGAGAACACTATAATTTAGTATAATTATTCTCTTTAGAAAATTAAAAATTATCCTAATGAATAGTCAAATAGATAGATACTAGAAGGAAATGAAGTCTTCCGTTAATTTCGTCTGATCTCATGCATCACCAGGAACTTTATAGAATGAAACATCCATAGAAGTATAAATCAAATGACGATAAAAATGGTGAGAATAGAGAGGGTGAGTCTAGTGGCAATTACTTCCGCAGTAAGATCCATGGACTAAAAAGATTACCGCAATCGTGAGAGAGTTTGGGAAGATTATTTACGTCACAAGCTTGCAAGAACTTTTGTGACACTTTAACATATACATTCCATCTTCCCTTTTTCTTTTTATACTTCAACAATAAATTTCTAGTGGAGAAGCCCATGGGATCGGAATACCAAGAAGGCCTGAGAGAATGACCACAACAAATTTAATTTTTTTTTTTTTTGGCAACCGTTATACACAACAAATTAAACTAGATCCTCAAAATTTTTGAGTTTGGCTAAACAGAGCATTAACCTGGTATAATATTGATATCGTCACCAACAATGGTAACATGAACATAGTATTGATCTCTATATTTTTTTCTTTTTGTTTTCGCTATACGTTGATGCTTTTGCTAAAATCTTCACTAATACTTTGTTATATAAAACATACTAAATATCTCATTTAAAAAAAATTTTATTTAACATTGAAATTATTTTAAAAGTCAAAATCTCATCAAATACAACTCTATTAATCTCTCATTCACCATTTTGAGATTTTTCCGATGGTTGAATATATTTTTCGCATCGTTTGTTCGGGAATAACGGACATATAGTGATTTGATCACTAGGGAGCTAGTGAACCAAACTTTGTCCCTGTAGATATCCGATGAATGATCCGCTCCTCCGACTATCTTCCGGAAGTCGTTTTCTTGTCAAGAGGTTTCCCAGAACAACAAAAATAGGTTTTAAAGGGAATAATAAAACAGATGATGGAAAAATTAATCAAAAATAAAGATAAATTTTATTTTGTTTTCAGTGGTTTATTTATCTTTTATAGTATAAAATAAAATAAAATAAAATAATCTCTACTATAAAAGATAAATAAACCACTGAAAATAAAATAAAATAAAATAGAGCTAAAGTGTCCACAGTTAAATCAATGGAGAGATCGTTTGTGACACAAGCAGCAGTATCATCGTCGTCATCACTCACTAGCGAAACTCGACCTTCTTCCTTCAATGGTCGCTCTCTTCGTCCGCTGAATCCGATCTCTCCTTCTCTGTTTCTTCCTGTAATTAGTTCCTCCGCTCTCGTCCTCAAGAGCACTCTCAGGTTGGTTCTTGATCCTTGGAGGCTTGATTTGATTCTTAGTTTGACTCTGGGTCAACGATTTCTGTAACTTCATTTGTCTAATTTTAGTCCACTGCAGAGGAAATGAGTAAAAAAAATCAAAGCTTTCCAATTTAATTGCTTATTCTCTTCTCTGGTTTGCTCTTTTGCTCAGGTTTAGGTGTGACAGTTTATAATTTAACCTTGCTTTGAATGTTTTGTTGATAAGCATTTAAGTGTTAGTTTGAGACTAATTGTTTCTTTATGGGTCTTATTTTTTTTGGAGAAATGTCATACAGAACTTACACTAGTACAACCACCTTGCATGCAGAAGGAAGGGAAACAAATCTTTAGTTAGGATGACTGGAGATAGCTTGGAAACTGTAGAGATGGCTTCAAAGGATATGATTTTCGAGCCGATTTTGGAGCACGGAGTTTTCCGGTTTGATTGTTCTGTGGAGCATAGGAAGGCTGCATTTCCTAGTGTTTCATTTAAGAACAGCAAAGACCGGGAAGTTCCAATTGTGAGTCACAGTGTTCCAGCATATATTCCTACTTGTGATTGTCTTCAGGACCAACAACAAGTTGTCACTTTTGAGGTTAGTGTTTCTATTTCTTCAACTTTTCTCAAAACTGATCTTACAATGTCAATTTTGGCAGAATCCAGGAACATACTAGTAGTTTACATAATGCTAACTTTTGATGCAGTTTTCTCCTGGCACGTCGTTTTATGGGACGGGAGAAGTTAGTGGTCAGTTGGAGAGAACAGGGAAACGGGTGAGTCATTCGCTTAATAACCATCATCAATTCGTTAGCCTAATTAATTTGGTGAGTATTAATGTTCAGGTTTTTACTTGGAACACTGATGCTTGGGGATATGGCTCTGGAACCACTTCGTTATACCAGTCACATCCTTGGGTACTAGTTGTCCTTCCCACTGGAGAAACACTAGGGGTTCTTGCTGATACAACACGAAAGTGTGAGGTATGTGAATATCATAGCTGGTGCAATCCCTCTTTTGTAGACCCACCGACGTTGCAATGTAATCTATCTTTTCCATTGTATTAACATATTTTTCTTGTCTAGATTGATCTAAGAAATGAGGGAATCATAAGAATTATCTCCCCAACATCATATCCAATAATCACATTTGGTCCATTCTCCTCGCCTACTGCTGTGTTGGAGTCCCTGTCGCACGCCATTGGTAATTTCTTAATAACACTTCTTCTATTTATATCGTCTTAATTTTACTTCCTTGTGCCATTGAAACATTTCTTTTCCATCTGTTAACTTTGCTGGATGACTAAACTTGATATGTTTCTTTGTAGAAAGGATCTCTGTTTCTGCAATTTGTATGTTGACTATTGTTTGCGCTTTACTTTTGCTCTCTCTATCGTTTCTCCTTGGTAAATATTGTTCTGTTTTGTGAATAATTTATACTTTCTACTTATCAGGAACGGTTTTTATGCCTCCAAAGTGGGCCTTAGGCTACCACCAATGCCGTTGGAGTTATATGTCTGACAAGCGAGTAGCCGAGGTCAGTGTTTTTGTTCATAGTTTGGCTTTGGTTATTGAGTGAATCTAATGAAGGGAATGACAATTTATGTTCAGTTTTTTTATATTTTGGGCTTCCCTGTCATGCTTTTCATCATTGTGCTGATGATTGCAGATCGCTCAAACATTTCGTGACAAGAAAATTCCTTCTGACGTGATATGGATGGATATTGACTACATGGATGGTTTTCGTTGTTTCACATTCGACAAGGCATGTTTTTTTCTTTATAGATCATTCCAAGTGGATTTTATTAACAGTGCTATGTTTAGGAGCGTTTCCCGGATCCAAATGCTTTGGCGAAAGATCTCCATAATAATGGTTTCAAAGCGATCTGGATGCTTGACCCTGGAATAAAGCAGGAGGAAGGTTATGTCTATGATAGTGGGAGTAAAAATGATGTTTGGATTAGCCGAGCAGATGGGAAGCCATTTATTGGTACTTGACTTCCATATCTCGATTTTTATGCTACCTTATCATGTTAATTTTATATTTCTACATAAATTGCTGAAAATATATGTTTGGTTTCAATAGGTGAAGTATGGCCTGGGCCTTGTGTTTTCCCTGACTATACAAATTCCAAAACACGCTCTTGGTGGGCTAATTTGGTTAAGGAATTTGTTTCAAATGGTGTTGATGGTATATGGAATGATATGAATGAGCCAGCTGTTTTCAAAGTAATTTTTACTTACTCTGCATTCACCCTTTATCATTTTCTTGGCAGAATCTTTATCCAAATTTCATTTGGTCGTATTTGTCAATGTCCAGGTCGTGACAAAGACGATGCCTGAGAACAATATTCACCGTGGAGATGACGACCTTGGAGGTGTTCAAAACCACTCACACTACCACAATGTAACTTTCTTGTTCTACTCTTATCTCATTTTCTCTATGCATGTCTAATGTTATCCTAGTTATGGAAATATGTGGTGGGTCCTTGGTTTTGTTATCATCATCGTTCCAGAGTAGTATTGTATATGTATATAAAGATATAGAGTGATAGACAGATACGGCTATTACTTGTGTTTGTATGTTTCTCTGTTATTGCTTGTAAAAATTTCTTTAGCAGCTTCATTACCTTGGAGGTACGATGTCAGGCACTGCAAGATAAGTTAGTCAAGATTTACTGTTGTGTAGGTCTATGGGATGCTGATGGCAAGATCAACTTATGAAGGGATGGAGCTAGCTGATAAGAATAAGCGACCTTTTGTATTGACAAGAGCTGGATTCATAGGTAGCCAGAGATATGCTGCGACTTGGACAGGAGATAACCTTTCAAACTGGGAGCATCTACATATGTCTATATCCATGGTCCTTCAGCTGGTAAGAATTTCAGGAATTTGCTGAATTCTTATCACAAAATTAAAGTATGGAGTGGGATAGTCATTTATGATAACTAATATATCTTGTCAAGCTCTGAGGACCTAAAAGTTTAGTGTCGTGAATCGTGATCATTTACTTTGGCTGAATTCTTTACATCAGGAGTTGTTTATTGTTCTTTTAAGCTTTGGTGTTGCTTATAACCTATATTTTTCTCCACTTTGGTAGAGCTAGCAGCAGAAATGAGTAAAAATATGGTTTTGCTGTTGTATTTCTCGATTTGGGCAAAGAACTATTTAAAAATATTTTTTTTTTTTACCCCTCCATCATTTAACAATTGCAACACCTATTAACTCTGAGACTGTAAATTGCATACAGGGGCTTAGTGGTCAGCCCTTATCAGGGCCAGATATCGGTGGCTTTGCTGGCAATGCAACTCCGCGGCTATTTGGACGTTGGATGGGTGTTGGAGCTATGTTTCCATTCTGTCGTGGTCATTCTGAGGCTGGCACTGATGACCATGAACCATGGTCTTTCGGAGAAGAGGTAATCTTTTTCTTGCAAATCTTGTAAGAGCTATTTCAGCATTACAACTCAATTTTTCATTACTAAAAATAGAAAGATAGACACCTGACATGAATGATAAGAAGCTATTTTTTTGTTTAGGATTTGTTTTGGCCCACTTATGAACTGTAGTGTTTTAATTAGTGCGAGGAAGTCTGTCGTGCCGCATTGAAGAGGCGTTACCAACTTCTACCACATTTTTACACCTTGTTTTACATAGCCCATACAACTGGTGCTCCAGTTGCAGCTCCAATCTTTTTCGCTGGTAGGCTTGTGTAATATTTATATTCCATGTCTTGAACTTATGCAATCATATCTTATGCTCACTCTTTCTTAAATTTCTTGATAAATGTAGATCCTAAAGATTCCCGGCTAAGGACTGTTGAAAACGGCTTTCTTTTGGGTCCACTTCTTATATATGCAAGGTTTTTATCTTCCCACTCAAACATGGATATGAATCTTGCAATTTGCTTGAAGATTTTCAGAATCATTGCTTTCCCTTACTCATAGCTTGCAGATATCATGACTTCACTCTGTTATGTGATTTGTGTTCTGATTTTGGCCACTTGATGAAGGGTTTCAGTACTATTTGACTGAATTTTTGGAACAAGTGGTTTAGAAGTTATAGAATGTTGAAGTAACTAGAACCATTTGCTGGGCATGATGATTGACATCTTATGAGGTTTGGTCATGATGGTGTTTCAAGTGTTTTAATTTTAAACTTTCGTGAATAATAACAACTGAATAATTTTTCACCTTATAATCTCTCTTTCTTTTCAGTCATTTATTGCATTCTTGTAAATGAATGTTTTTTATTCATTCTTGTGAGTTGTTCTGTAGTTTAATCTGCCAAACATATATACTCATCAAGTTGTCTTTGGTTTTTTTCTATCATTGTTTAGCACTTTGTCTAGTCAGGGATCACATGAGCTGCAGCACATATTGCCCAGAGGAATTTGGCTTAGGTTTGATTTGAAGATTCACATCCGGTATGGTTGCTAACAGTTGTGATTGTCGTCTCTCCATTCTTCACGAAAGAACTTAGATTTTGTTTATACTTTTCACATGTTGATTGTTTGTATCATGATGCCAGGATTTACCAACATTATATTTACAAGGTGGATCCATCATAGCATTGGCTCCTCCACATCTGCATGTTGGGGAATTTAGTCTGTCAGATGATTTGACCCTACTTGTGTCATTAGATGAAAATGGTAAGTTTAGCTTTTGATCCAGACATAGGCGATCAGTGATCTGAAAATTTTATTTCTTTCTACTTTGCTTCTGTTGTCTTTTTGCAACTTGTTTATCAGATAACAAGGTATTATATAGTGAGAGGTATCATGTTACTGAAACTCGTGGAAAGAGAATAAATCATAATGCAACAGAATTTTGGCATTCCTTCTAAAATTTCGAGAAAGTGAGTAAATCATAATGTAACAATTACTTTGGAAGTTCTTGTTGTATTGTTCATGCACATGATTGTGTATTAAGCTCTATAACTCTTTTGGTGATTGCCTTATCAGATTTTATGTTCATATGCTAAATCTCATAATAATCAGGATAATAACTCTTTTATCTCTGTCAGGGAAAGCTAAAGGACTCTTGTTCGAGGATGATGGAGATGGATATGGCTACACTAACGGCAGATTTCTAGTTACACACTACATTGCTGAGCGGCATTCTTCCACTGTCACTGTCAAGGTTTCAAAAACTGAAGGAGACTGGCAGAGGCCGAACCGCCGTATTCATGTCCAATTATTACTAGGAGGTGGTGCAATGGTACTGCTCTTTCTCTTGTTAAAATAATATAATGTAACTGTCAAAACATTTGAATCTAGATAGTGTTGAACAGCTTGATGCTTGGGGAATGGATGGAGAGATTATCGACATTAAGGTGCCTTCAGAAAGTGGAGTTTCAGATTTAATATCCACAAGCAATGAGCGCTTTAAACTTCATATGGGTACATCTCATCTTTTATATATATCTGTAGCTATTTTTATATTCAGGTTTGTAGTTATTGAGATGTATACCTTCTATTCACTGCATTAGTCAAGTCCTCTATAATACCTTGTTACATTCTTCAACTTTAATTTTCATTTAAATTCTATACAGTGTTAACCGAGTCGCAGCTCCTGCCTGAACACAAGATCTTTAGTTCCATGAACCTGTACATACTGCAGTACACCAATGCAGAGTATCTTCTTTCTGAGAATGTGTATTATTGAAATGTAGAAAATACAAAGCTGATACCTGAGAAGGAAGTGCTACCTGGACAAAAGGGAATGGAACTTTCAAAGGAGCCAGTTGAGTTATACAGTGGCGATTGGAAACTTAATATAGTTCCCTGGATTGGTGGAAGGATATTGTCTATGACACATGTTCCCTCAGGTAATATATCGATAAACTGTTTTTCTATGTACTATTAAGTTTGAAAAAGTTGCAAATCTTTTATGAATGAGATACTTTCAACACTTTTGTGGAGAATGCTCAGAGACAAAAACATGTTCTGTTTCTTTGAAGTAAACAGTCTCAGCCCTATACTGAGAGACACAATATGTCAATATCTATTGGACTCTACCAAACTATGATCACCCAGACAAATTCCCATATCTCTGTGTCATTATATCGTGTGTTGCCAAGAATCAGCTCATAGTTGATTGTTGACGGTGTTGTGTCCATATTGGCTTTGAGAATGTGCAGAGACTACAGTTTTGGTTGATTGCAATTTGCAGGAATTCAATGGCTTCATAGCAGGATAGATATCAATGGTTATGAGGAGTATAGTGGTACTGAGTACCGGTCAGCTGGATGTACTGAGGAATATAATGTCATTGAGTGAGTTTACTTTAACAATCTCTCTCACACAAGCACATTGCATGCAATGAATGTTGACATGAACACACAGCTCTCTGCATTATCTTTATTTCTGTTACTAAATTGATTGTTCCATCTCATGTAGGAGGGATTTGGAGCATGCAGGAGAGGAGGAATCTCTGATCCTAGAAGGTGATGTAGGTGGTGGACTGGTTCTTCGGCGTAAAATAAGTATACCTAAAGAAAATCCCCGAGTTTTTCAGATTGCCTCTAGCATTGAAGCCCGTAGTGTTGGTGCTGGTTCTGGTGGATTTTCAAGGTTTGTCTACTTGCTTCAAAATTTCCCTTTTTTCCACTATGTCTATGCTTTTGCAAGAGGTTACGGAACAGAGAGAATTTACACATTAAAGTACCAACTTTATAGTAATCTTGTGTAATTTAAGTAGATTTTGCATAGAATAGGTTGCTTGCAAGTTGGTATGAGGTTTGTTCCTCGTACCTGATATATGGATGCATGAATCCTCTTCTGTTGTTGGAACGAGAATAGATAAAGTCAAATGCTTGAAATCCCCTGTCCTTTTATTCTTGTGTCTGGTAAATGATGTTGTTTTTGGTGCTGGTTACTTAATGTTCCAGGCTGGTATGCTTAAGAGTCCATCCAACTTTCACTCTTTTGCATCCAACTGAATCGTTTGTCTCATTCACGTCGATTGATGGTTCAAAGCATGAAGTTTGGCCAGATTCTGAAGAGCAAATATATGAAGGGAACAACCTCCCACATGGTAAGTACCTTTAGGCTTTTCACAGTTTTAAGCCTGCGAATAACTTTTCCTTACTGATAAACTTTAATCATGATACTAAACATATGGATCAATGTAACATTTGCGCGAACACTCTTCCTCTGTCTTCTTAGGTGAATGGATACTGGTGGACAAGAGCCTCAATCTACGGCTATTAAACAGGTTCGATGTTAGTCAGGTCTTCAAATGTATTGTCCACTGGGACTGTGGAACCGTTAACTTGGAGCTATGGTCTGAAGACCGACCTGTTTCTAAAGAATCTCCTCTCAAAATAGAGCATGAATACGAAGTCTCAAGTTTCCCATAAATATGTCTGCACATTTCTGTTTTGACTACTTGGGTTGTCCATTATAAATGCATAAATAAGTGAATGAACAGTCGTGTTTTAGATTTAAACTATCTATGTATGCGACATTGTGTTATATTGACATTTTGCTACCAAAATAATCGAATATGGGAGCTTAATTAGTATGAGCCTATGACATAAATAAATAAATAATTAAGATTAGTGATTTAATCCTGTTTGGTGTAATTATTCTGGATTGCATTATATTGTCTTTCTCATTTCAATACTAAAAAGTTAAGATCACAATTAATAATATTTATTTATTGATGAAATCCGGTCAATATTCTTCACAGCATACAACTTAAGGTCATCTTTCATCATTGCCAAATAACCGGAGAAGAAGTATTCATCATCTCTCTTATGCACCACCAGGAATTTTGTATACTGGAACATCAACATATATATATAAGGTTGAAGATAAAAAAAAATGAATAAACGTAAAAGAGTGTGTGTTCAATGTTACTACTTACCTCCACAGTAAGAGCCAGGAGCTAATAGATCACCGCATGCGTGAGACAGTTTGCCGAGCTTTTTTACGTCAAAACGTTCACCAAAAGTAGGATTGACAGCATCACAAAGGCAATACATCTTATCAATTTTTAAATTCTTACAACATTCTGGTATCGGTGGGATAAATGGTGAATTCAGCCTTAGAGACGTAACACAATAAATCAAATCTTCATAACCTTTCGTACGGCTACATCCAGGAAAAGGTTGGAACGACATTGTTCTTGCAACAAGCAATATAAACATAATAATATGGATCTTCATCATCGGATCTCTTTTCATTTTTTGCCGATATGGTTTCTCTTTTAAATCCATACATATTCTTAAGTATATATAGATATAAGAGAAAAGGTTATTTAAGGTAAATCTAAGCCCGTAATAATGAAAAAACCAAAACAATCTTGTGAAAGCCAATAAAGGAAAACAAAAAGGAAATATAGAAATTTGACCCAAAAAAAGGAAAAATCGTATTTAGAAAATCATACAATATTTATTACTTGTTTACCATTTTTCAAAGATCATCAACTTTTTACTTATTATTATAAAACATATTTCACCAATCATAACTACATAAAGTATTGATGGAAATTTGTTTCTTCAAGGATTTATTGCAAATTTACCATCATTTAAAGATCAACAATTAATTCCTTTTGACCAAAAACAGAAAAAGACTAACAAATTTTCGGGACAGACAAATCTTGCGATTTATTTTGGGCAGACAAATTTTGACCCTTATGAGTATTAACTATTAAGAAATGAAAAAAAACTCGTGCTGATCACAGACAACTAGACAGGAAAAACGCTCATGGACTATTTTATACTTTGATTTGTCTATTGTTTTCTCTTTCTATTTGAAAATCGTGAGAGTCATTTGGATGTTCCAATGTCTTATTTTTCTGTTTTGTCTAAGTCACAAGCATGGATTGTTGATTCTGTCTTTTTCGTGTCAATTACTAAAAATTAAGAACACACAATTAATAAAACTTTTTTTTATTGATGAGATCTTTCACAATATATGATGTAAACGTATAATTTAAGATATATGAGTCTGCTTTCATCAATGCCAAATAACCATAGAAGAAGTATTCTTCGCTTCTCCTCTCATGCACCACCAGGAACTTTATATACTGGAACACCAAACACCAATATATATGAGATTAAAGATGAAAAATGAATTTACTAATTAAGATTGTGATTTTTATGTTACTTATATGCATCATATATGTTGAGGATGAAAATTTGAAATGAATATAATATACTTAAGAGAGTTGTTATAATGTTACTTACATCCACAGTAAGAGCCAGGAACTAATAGATCACCGCATGCATGAGATAGTTTGGGGAGCTTTTCCACATCAAAAACTTCGAGAAAATTAGGGTTGACAGCATCACAAAGACAATACATCTTGTCAATTTTTAAGTTTTTGCAGCATTCTGGTATCGGAAAATTAAATTGTGAATTCTTCCTCAAAGACGGAGCACAATAAACCAAATCTTCATAACCTTTTGTTCGGCTACATCCACGAAAAGGTTTTGAACGACGATGTTCTCACAACAAGCAATATAAACATAATAGTATAGATCTTCATTATCAAATCTCTCATTCTTTTTCTCTATGATATGTATTCATCTTTTAAGTCCTTACATGTTCTTAAATATATATAAGTACAATACAAAGTTTTTTTAAGGAAATTCCAAGTGTCGTCAACGCAATAAAGAAAAAAAAGAAGAAAAAGAAAGATAATAGTAGTAGTTACAAAATAATACATATTTATTGCTAGTATACCATTTTTAAAAGATCAACAATTCTTTTTGACCAAAACCGGAAAAAAATTAACAATTTTTTGGGACAGACAAATCTTGCAAATATTAATTAAGAAATGGAAAAAATAAAATAAAATCATTTTTTAAACCATCTAATACAATCAATAATATTTGACATTTAAAGAGAATTGTAAAAAGAAATAATAACTAACAAGAAAGAAATATAATGTCTTCTGACAAAAACAAATCTCTTACTCTATAAACTAGGTTTTAAAAGTCTGTAATTCACATGATCGTGACACGTGTTCTATCGATCTGACGCAAGATCCTGAAACCTAAAAGGATTTTTTTTTTTGTCATTGTCAAATTTATTAAATTGGTAAAACTATATATACCAACGAGAAAGTTGTTGAAAGTAGTGTAATCATATTTCAGACGAGAATTATGAAACATCATTTTTTGAGATTTGACAAAAATTATAATGATGAATATTTGGCAAAAGTTTTGGTAATTGACAATTTAACATTACTATTATAATAAATGTTACAATAAATTTAAAATATGAAAATTTTAAATTAGTATATTAAGCAAAAAACATATAATTACTCTTTTTCTAACTAAAAATGTATTTAGATATCTTTTACTTAATAAAGTTTTTAATATATCTTTTTGTTAATCTCTATTGTATTTTTTGAAATACATTTGGTAACGGCTGGGTTAAATTATGATCCGACAAATTTGGTAGCCAACTCGGATATTCCATATTCCATATATTTCAAGTTTATCAACCAGGCCGGACAGATTGATGGAAATATTATCAATTAAGAAGGAGGAGGATCTACTCCGTTGAAGGAAACAAAGAACATTGCTTTTCTGAGGCTCATCTAGATGTTCTGAATCAGATGAACACTATAAACGAAAGCCGACACAGAAAAAAGAAAGAAAGTGGAAAAGTGTTGTACACATCTCAAGTAATAGTGACCTTGTTGAAACAGAAAGTTGAGACATTTCTGAAATGTCTTAACTCTAGCAGCCAATTGTGTTGAATGAGTTGTGAAGCTACCGAAATCAGGAAGGGACACATAACAGACATATGATGTGGCAATAAAGTGGACTTGATATGGAATATTATGGATCATTTATATACATTGCTCGTGTCGTGTAAGCGCACTAATCATCATATGGAGAAATATTGGGTGGTAAGAGAAAAGGAATTATAGGAATAGTGAAGATACTCTTTATTGGTGGAGTCTCCTTTGTTTTTGGAAATAAACAACCCTTGATTATAAATACCAAGGTCACATAGAGGTGTGCGCGTCTAGGGTATTGTCGAGAAAGAAGCACACATGCGTGTTACGGTAATCTGATTTGTATGGTTGAATTCAAAACTTTCTTTACTTAGGATTAGACTATCCACACGTAAGCCTTATTTTTAGTTTTGTAATTTCATTTTCTTTTATTTTATTACTAAGGGTAGGTTTTTAATTGTCATTATAAAACCTATTTCACCAATCGTAAGTCATAGCTACATAAAGTATTGATGGAAAATTTGAAAAGAAAAAAAAACATCATTTATTTTTAATTTTCCCTTAAGAAAAAAATATATTATTCATGAAATTCATCAGGTCAATATTCTTCGCAACATATGATGTAAGCATACAACTTAAGGTAATATATTAATATTTTTTCATCAATGCCAAATACCGGAGACAAGTAATCCACTTTTCGCCACTTATGCACCACCGGGAACTTTGTATACTGAAACACCAATATGAGATTGAAGATGAAATATGAATTACTTAAGAGTATATATGATTTAAGAGAGTTGTTTTAATGTTACTTACATCCACAGTAAGAGCCAGGAACTAACAGATCACCGCATGCGTGAGACAGTTTGCCGATCTTAGTTACATCAAAAACTTCGAGAAAAGGTTTTTTGACAGCATCACAAAGGCAATACATCTTGTCAATTTTTAAATTCTTACAGCATTCTGGTATCGGAGGGATGAATGGTGAATTCAGCCTCAGCGATGGAGAACAATAAACCAAATCTGCATAACCTTTTGTTTGGCTACATCCAGGAAAAGGTTTGAACGACGATGTTCTCGCAACAAGCAATATAAACATAATAGTATAGATCTTCATCATCAAATCTTTCATTCTTTTTCTCTATGATATGTCTCCTTACATATTCTTAAATATATATAAGTATAGGACAAAGTTTCTTTAAGGAAATTCCTACCCAGCAATTATGAAAAATAACCAAAACACTTTGTCAAGGCAATAAAGAAAAAGAGAAAAAAATGGAAAGATAATATTATTTACAAAATAATACAATATTTATTGCTAATTTACCATCTTTTAAAGATCAACAATTAATTCCTTTTGACCAAAAACAGAAAAAGACTAAAAAATTTTGGGACCGACAAATCTTGCGATTTATTTTGGGCAGACAAATTTTGCAATTATTATTAAGAAATGAAAAAAATCTCGTGAAATCAAAACATTTTTCTTTACCATCCCAAAACAGTCAATAATATATGACATATAAAGAAAATCGTAAAAATAAATGAATAAAATTATAAAATAGCAGGAAATGAATTTTTTTTTTTTTGGTAAGCAGCAGGAAATGAATTTTAGTCCTCATTATATTGTCAACTCATGCAACATATATAAGTTCATAAGTGAAAATACAGAAAGGCTTTAACAAAAAAAAAAAAAAAACAGAAAGGCTTAAAAATGACGAGTTTAATTAAAAGAGTTAAGCTCCATTTAACTCATCCGAGCTGTATGAGGAAATCAGAATTAATCCACCAAAGGGTGTGATCTTGTATGGTAAACCATGCACTGGGACCATTTTAGGCCCTCCCCTCCTCATGGGGAAGACAAAGTCAGTTCAACTATTGGTTGCTTTCTAAAATTTGCCTTTTAGCTATGATGAAAAGTTGACTATGTACCATGAGACGTCAAAGACTCTACAAGGTTGAGCTGTTAAAGCTGTAACGGGCAGAGGATTCGAAGGCTACGATTCCGGTTTATCACAATCAGGGCCAAAGGTGGTACGTAGTTTTGTTGATACGTACCACGTAGCTTGGTTTTCTCCGTCGGAATAGAAAAGTTGACGCATAAGGTTTTTGGCCCAAAGATTAATCAAGCCCAAATTTTCAAAAGGGCCGAATATTATTCGCTCAAGCCCAAATCGTAAAAAAGGCCGGCTATTTTTAAATGAAGCCCAAATTGTCAAAAAGGGGAAGAAGTCGCCTGAAGTGACAACGGGAAAGCTCGACGGCGAACAACGAGCTATGAGTAGCAGCGACGAGAAGCTCGTGTTAGAGTTCCCGCTGACACAAGCAAATTAAAACAAAGGAGATGTCTTGAAATCGGAGGCTTGTGAGTTGTATTGCATCAAAAGGTTATGAATTTCATGAGTGGTTGCGGCAAAGAAGAGAGGTAGGTTCAAGATATCACGAAATAAAAAGCAGTATCTGATTGTGGAAAAGAATCGGAGCAAGAGATCCGCTGCAATCACTAGTTGTTTTGTGGTGATCTCTGTTGTTGTTTTCTGGATGCTCATGTACTTACTGCTAAAATGCTAAAATCAACACTTTGATGGAACACAAGATTCACATACTGAAAGTTGTTATCAGAATTAATGTTTAAGTTTATGAATTGAGAAAAGGTCTTCTGGAGTTTCAGTCTTTAGGATAGAAATCAGGTTCATTGAGTTCATAAGAGTATGTGTCCGAGACAATGAAATGTAGCAATGTCCGTTGTGGATGTTGTTTTAGCTATGCAAGTAGCAGAATCAATGTTCGTATAGAGTGAGGTTTGTATGGGAAAACAGCAGACAATGAATTATCTATACCTTAATCAGAACAAAGGCTCATGTAGAATCTGAACAGATTGCGGGTTGTAAGTATCAAGATCCTACACAAGTCATCAAAGATTGTATTGTATCGGCAAACATAGTCCAAGAAAGGGATTTATTGGTGGTAATGGCTGAATTGTTAAAAGTTTTGGGTTTAGGCGAATGAGATGAGATCTTGACAACATATCAAGGTCAAATAAAGATCATCGTGATGGTGTTAGTTGTCGTGACGTTTCAAGTTAATTGAATCAGTGCTTCTAGGTTGGGTGTGTTTGTCTGTTTTGTTTAAACAGACAAAGAGAAAACAACAACACAGTGTATACCAACATATTCTCAACCCAGATGGAGAGACATCTTGTGGAGGTAACTAGGGTTTGAGTGGCAGAAACCAATGAGGATGAAATCAAGTCAAGGAATGTTAGTTTCTACTTCTTGCAACTTGCATTTATGAGTCGTGAAGAGATAGAGTAGCTGGATTAAAAAGCTTGTTTAGACAGCTTGGGCTTAAGATTCACGTCCAGCAAGTGGTTGTCTTCTAGAGGTTGTTTCATTAAGTTTTTGCAGCTAAAATTATGATGAAAATCTGCTGCATTTAGTGTTGAAGGTTAGTTGAAATAACAGCAATGAAACACATATTTTGAGTAATCAGGGACAGCTTAAGTTTTTCAATCTTTGTGCTTTTCGCTGTTGCAATATGGATCATGTGTTGGCGTTTATGTAGAGAATAGTTGCAGATGAGTTTCAGACAAAAAAAACTGAATCAAGTAAGCTGTTGAAATATAACAGGTTCATGGCTTTGAAGAAATTCAAACTTTTGGTGGGAATTTTGGTGAAGGATCGGTTTCAATGGTCAATCTCAGGCTCTTGAAAATCTGAGAGGATTATATGGTGTAGTGATCAGGCTAAAGAAAATCTTTAGAAGTATACATCGACAAAGAAAGAGAGCCTTGAAAGTAAAGCTGGGACAAGAACAAGACACGCCTCAGGAGAAGGTTTGGACGACTTCAGTTGTTTGTGAGCAACCTGCAGGTGTTTACTGAGACAATGAGTTTCTGGCGAATACCAGGTACTGGTTTTATTTTGTGAGGTCTCGGTAGTGTATGTGGAAAAGTGTGAGTATCATTAACCAGTTGTGTCTCTACAAGTTTCTCCAAGATGTGACTCTGATGAATGCTTATGAGGTTTCAATGGTTACATCTGGGAACTTATGACTCTTGTTTACAAGACAAGTAATGGTGTGTTGCTGGTATCAAAATGATCTTATGGTTCGCTCTAAGGGTTCAAGCTGAGTAAGATGTAACGAAATCAGAAGTAACATATTGCAGAATCTTGTGGTTTTGCCACACGAATCTTTGCAAATTCAGCTTGGGAGAGGAATTAGTATGTATCTGATCACCATTTGTATCCTACACTTTTGTTGTCATAGTAGCTACAAAGAGAACAGGAAAGCAGAAATATAATTGGAACCGAGAAGTTTGCAGAGCTTACCTATGAGCATATCTTCTTGAAGGACAACCAGCAGCCACAACTTGAGGGCAAGTTGAATTGCAGGATCTACAAGCATCATCAACAACACATGCCTCATCAACTAGTTGATTAGCAATATAAATATAATGTTTTGGTCAAACTTTTTGGTGCCTCTTGGGGTTTGGGAGAGTTTACTAACTGTAGAACAAACCATAAAATAAAGTTGTTTTAGATTCCAAACCTTATGATCAGTATTTCAATTAATTGTTGGGAAATATCACAAACAATCACAGTATTGCAAACAAGTAATTGAGGTCATCATCATTTTAAATAAACTAACTAAAAGAGCATCTACACATAAGTTCTTATAAGTTCTAAGACACTGAAACAGAGATAAACATTCATAAGTGGGTACAAACGCGTGCTGCCTTGTAGATCTTCCCAGGTCGACAGAAGTAACCTCTGATAGGGGAACAGTGCACATCTTTCGAACAGATGCACAACCCCTCCAGTGCACAGCCTTCCGTATCTACGGTAAGGTCGCCTCCCAAACCCAATACTGCGTCCGTCCATTTGCTCGAAAATAGTTGTAGTGGGTCGAACATCTGCTTCATCTTCAAGAACAAAGCTGCATCCTTGTACTTCTCAGTGGCGTTGATAAAGGCAACATTTCTGTTCTTACCCCAATGTGGCAGGCCCCCATACTTGAACAAACCCATCTGCTCGATCTCCTCGAAAAAATCTTCATACATACGAGGCATCAACGGGTCTCTGCTTCTGTAATATGTAAACTCGAACTCCATACCCTCGAATTCGATGCCCAAGTATGCAAATGATGGTTGTACATACCGGATCAACACACCATTGTAGAAATTGAGTCCGCATAAAGCTTTCGGTTCGATCTTGACCAGAGTCTTGATGTCGCTGATAAACTCCTTAACGTTCTCAATGGGGATGGAGAACGTGGTCTGATGAAAGAATTGACCATGTACACGGGAGTCCCAAGGACAAGCTGTGGCCAATCCATCTTCTTTGCTATCCAGACAACCTCCTGAGGACATCAGATCACTATGGTTTCCTATCACTGGAAAGCCATGATACGTCATACCTGCAGTTCAAAATATGAAACATAACTTAATAATCTGATTTCACATAAGTGTATTGTCAGTTTTGCAGTTTGTACAGTAAAGAAGAGCATAGAGCATACCATCATTTGACAAACCATATAATAGAGTAAATAATTGAGCTCGAACATCCTGCGCCAATGTGCAAATCTCCTCTGAATTCCTTTCCAATTCTAGCTCTTCTTCTATTTGTTTGTTAAGATAAATGAAGCTAATCAAAAATAAGTGACTATAATGATGTAATTTTTTGGTTGACGTTATGAAATGAATGTACCTCTTGATCTTTGAAATTCCAGTAAATTTGAGTCTTCGGCTTTGTACAATACGGAATTGTATAAGCCACTGCCGGAGATGTTGATTGAAACCCGTTCATCCATACGGTAAACGACTTCTCCTTGGCTGGGGTACCACATTATGTCAGGAAACTCGTACCTATCTCCGTGCTTCTCAACCATCTCTACAAGATCGCTATCCTTAATGGTTATATACGTGATTGATCTTTTGAACATTAACTCCAACTGAACCGTCACCTGAAAAGGAATGATACAAAGGTTATTTCATTTTTCCACACAAGATTTAAAGAAGCTTATTATGTATCTTAGCCAAAAAAACAGTTTAATGGAGATAAGCAAACAAGTCAATTACATAATTTATCTTTGATATAAACAGAAAATATAAGATTTTTACCTGAGATATGACACCAAATACGCCCAGAGAAACTCTAGCAGCGTCCAACTCACTGAAGTTGCTGCGGTTGAGTGTTCTAATCATGGAGTATCCTTGATCAGGAGGAGCAGAGGTTACCATTCGCATCTCGATGACGTAGTCGTGAAAAGCAGTGCCCCCACGCTCCCCATCCCAAGAACTACCGTGGGCTCCGGTAGACATCATCCCACCTACTGTTAGCCCCCACCAGTGTGGTGCCATTCTCAACGCCAGTCCAACTTTTGCAGCATCACCTATGAGTTGGCGAAGTGACACGCCACTCTGAACCGTGATCGTCATCGCATCTCTATCAACACTCAACGTCTTGTTGAGAAGCTCGGTGCTGATAAGTCTACCATCCTCTCCATCGACACAGGCCAACTTGGTTGTGCTGTGAGAAAAGCGTGTAACCACGCGCATCTTCTGTCTCGCGCGAGTTCCTTCAGCAACGACTTGTAGGAGATCATTCTCCGTGGTCGGGTATGCCACGACAGATGCTCTACAGATGGCTCGATCGGAGAATGCGCCGTACGAGTTGAGAACCGTGCAGTTTCTTCCTCTGAAACCACAGCTAACAGGGTTTTCCGGTGGGCTTGAGTAAGACACAGAGAACAAGAGGTGAAGAGATAGTACTCCTGAGCCATAGAAAAAAACAACTGAATTAACAAAAAGAAGAGTAAAGTTGAGATGGCAATTTTGCATCATGAAACTGAGCAAATCAATTGGAACATCTAATTCCAGTTCTACTCACAGTAATCACTATTGATCCCTAGAAATATTTGGTCCCAATAACAACAGCAGAGCATAAACAACAGAAGAGAAAGTTCCAGGAGTTACCTATTGCCGCCAGAAGCATCATTTTGAGTTTTCAGTCTGTAGCTCTTACAGTGGCTAAAAATCTGCAAGGAAGATGAATGACAAATGTTAAGAGGATTAGTAATGCAAGGAACATGACTGACAGAGAAATACATACAGAATAAGTCAATATGTTGCTCAAAGTTATTAACTACCTATACTGCAATCACCAAGCAATGTGAGATGAGTTTGAAAAATGACAAATAATAAATTAATAATTATAAGCTCATTTGACTGATTCTAGTACTTAGAAAAAAAAAAAAAGAGTCGTTGACCTCATTCATATTCAAATAAAAAGCAAACACTGATTGATTCTACTCGAAAACTACTTGGAGGGTTCTTTAGAGTAAGGAAGACAATGTCTTGTAACTTAGTATTCTTGTGGAGACATTGGGAAAACAACATTGTTTAAACCTGATATATACTCGGTTTTTAAGGCCCAATCGCCCAATTATCAACAATACCCAAATCATACTCGCAAAACCCACTCAACAATAATAGAAGCAGAAGAAAAAGAACCCAATCCGACCGCAGAGAAGCGAAAATGAGCAAGAATTGATAGCAAGGCTGAAAGATTGTTTACTTTGAAACCCGAAGAAGAACGCCTGGGAGGATTGAGAGACGGTTTGTTTGTAATTCGAACCGGGAGGAGTGAGAGTTCTCTCTTTCGGACAAATCCCAGACCGTTGTCCCTTCTAGCTCGATCTCGTCGATTTAACCCCAGTCCAACACAGTAAATCGATTTTTAAAACTATTTAATTTAATTGGTCTAAAATAGAAACCCCTCTCTTGCTTTTGGAAGGTTTAAAACTGTATGGGCGAGAACTTGTAAAATGAAAGGGAACAGAATGGGCTACTAAAGGCCCATAGTAACCGAGAATCAAAGACTACGTTCTCGATCGTAATTATCTCACATCTCTCTCGTCTCACAAGATCAAAGAAGCTTCGAGATTTGCTTCTTAATAAGAGCAGCTTTTCAAACGACGTCGTTATACTCTTTAACCAATTCCCAGACCAACTTGGTTATTGCCTCTAATTCACTTGTACCGGTTTCCTCTTCAATTGAACCAGAACCTTCTTTGCCTCGTGGAAACCAACAAACAAGTACAGCTCCACAATCACCAAAACTGTTAATCGAAGAATGGTGAAGGATACGTTGTTCTCGCCGTTACGATCTGTATCGTTGGTGGCGGATGACTCTGGTGCAACGCCGGAGATTTTTGATCAGTTAAACAATTTGATTACGCAGATCACATGTTCGTCTTCCTCTGACTGAGTCAACTCGCGATTCGTCGGGACGAGTCATATAGAGCACTTGTTTTCTCAAACTTTTCGTAATCAGCAGGAAATCGGAGAATCAAGCCAAAATACGAAGTCCATGTTGCACAATCATCCACTCAGGTATCGTTTTCTCATCTGGAGCCTAGCCGTAGTGGAAACATGTTAGGGATTCAGGGGAATCGATGGTGCAAAGAAAGGAGATTCCAATTTTCCATGGAGTTTCTCCGTATGGTTTGGATTGCGAGTGTTTGAGTGTGGAACGATATTTTCGACTTGAAACAGAAAGTGAGAAATTGGAGTTGGTTTCTGCTAGTTTAATGAGTGTTACCTTGGAATGCTACCATAGGGAGATAAACCATTTCAGAATTGACTTCACTTTAAAGATATATTGCTTTTCAGATTTGGTAATGTGAGAGTTACGGGTCCAAGCCAGAGCTTATTTTGCATTAAACAGAAGGGTGCACTTGCTGAGTATGTGCAAAGATTTGAAAAATTATCTGCTCAACGGTTTAGATGATCGTAAGCTTCAAGGGATTTTTCTGTGTGGGTTAACTCAAGAAATGCACGAAAAGGTGCACGGGATGAAGCCTCAGAACTTACCACAGATGATTGGTAATTGACTCAATTCCGGAACCAGCATCGTGGCAGAGCAAGGATTCATTTTTGGTGATAGAACTAAGCCACCAGCAGGAATTGCTTCCAGCAGGGAGATGGCTTTAATCAAAGAGAGTTCTGGAAGCTATGAGATATTGCTTATAAACTCTCCGGATTAAGCAGAGAAACAATGTCTTGGTGGATTGGTTGTATCATCAATCAACAAGTGTCACTGATAAAAGGAAACCAAGAAAGTATTCAAGGCTTGGAAATATTAGCAAAGATAGCAAACCCGTTAGTTTTTGTTCTCGTGCTAAGTTGGATTAGTGAGGAAGAGGAGAAGTTTTCGGAGCCTTAGACTGCAGAAGCAAGCTCACATGGCAAGGGTGTTGTGTAACATGAGGATGATGCATGCTTCATGAGAGATGAAAAGAGGGACTTATACATGGTATATTAAGCCCATGTTCTTGTGGGAAAGAGAATCCAGAGAAAGGAATGCCATTTCACAAGAGGAGTCAACATTCCAACATATTTTATACGTTTTCCTTAACCAGAAGGAGCTGCAGGTCACTCAATTTCACATGACATTGGACAAGGGCACTCTTGTTTTGCTGGTTCAACGAGTGTTTCATAAACTGACAACCTCATTATATGACTCTTTTGAGGTTTTGAAACCTAGAAGACCTGTGGTTTACCATCTGCGTTCACTTCAATATGTCAATATTCAACTCATCAACCTATCTTTCACATCCCTCAGTTACACCATTTGCTGGATTCTGTTTGAGCGAAGAAGTTTGTGAGTTGGTTGAATGTTGTTTGCGTGTTAACGGAACTTATGCGACACAGAGTGGCAGTGAATGTCGCAAAGTTACAGCTAGCTCTACAAGGGAGAGACTTGATGTTGTTAAAAGTCAATACTCAATTGATAAGGGTTTAACACATTATGCAGCTGACAGCTGCTACACCAAGCCTAGAAATGGCGTATACAATGGGTACAAAACTAGAAAGTGACGTCATATTGTTTCAGATCACAAAAATTTTCTACCATTGCATATTCGCAAGGACTGGCAGAATTAGAAATTTGGGCATTTGATTCCTTAAAGTATCGAGATAGTGGATCAGCGCACAATGGTATGATGGCAACATACTGTATCTCTTCCTTCCTGCATTGTGAAGATAAAGATTTGAGCTTTCTGTTTTCCGAATCATCATCCCTCTTGTGTTGTATAACTGATGTTTCTTCATCTTCATGGTTTTATGATTACTAATATCCTCTACTGTTTTTTCAGATGCTTGGCACAATCATGGCCATGGGAAGGCTTAACGGACCACTCATTACGGTTTATGGTGGAACCTTAACAAGGTATTCTCAACCTTTCAAGTTTCCTGATTGAAGTTCCCTAAACCCTTGTGACAACTAGCTGGATAGCATATTAACCTTTGTTACTGTATCTTAAGATATTTCGATTATGGTATAATTCGAAAAGTTATGGTGACTTTGGTGTTAAATTGCTTCAGTACTTGGCTGAATTTCATTTTCTGTCCTATTTTTGGATTCCAGTGGTATGGAGAATTTGTGGAACCTTTTCCGGCTATGTCCACAGAGATGTTAAACCTATCTAGTGCTTTGTCTATATAGAAAAGTCAGGCTTTTCCTGTGCCAACTAGGTAATTGGTAGCTAGCCTCCACAGAGGCATTAAACTTCAAAGAGTACTGTGCAGTAAATACCAAAGTACAGCTCAAAGACGATCGACATTCACGTCATCCTATAGAGCTCTAGAATGCAAGTCTTCAACCACTCTACGTAAGGGTGATGTAGGTGTGCATACTTATCCCCAAGCTGATATGATAGCGATGAGAACCCAAAAGTAGTACTGTGTAGTTAATGCAAATGTATAGCAGAATGTGTTGCCCAAGAAAGTGACACTACAAATCTCGAGTTAGTAGTTGTTGACAAGTCACTAGTTTCAGAAAATTCTTTTCCAAGTTCCTAAAGTGAGAGTCGTGGCTTTCATTTAGAGCAGGTTTTTTTGTTCCGCATTTGCATAGTGTAACAATATGATGTGAGTTTTTTGCACCTTACAGGCAGTGGAAAATGTTCGAGCAGGGTCTATCAGAAGAGAAATGGCTCTGAAAGAGTTCTGTTTTTAAGCAAGCCTCTGAAATATCACAGCTTAATCTGCTGGTATGATCCTTGCTTATGTTTTGTTTTGCTAGCTTTTTTATTTTTTACATAACAAAAGAACCTTTCTAATTGTGTCTGGAAAGTTGAACAGGTTGCAATAATACAAACAGGAGAGAGATAGAGTGTGCAGCAATGCCAGCATAGGACAAAGAAAGGCCTAGAAGGGGACACAATAATTTCCTGGATGAAGAAATTGCATCTCTCATGCATGAGCACAAGGTAGTGTTTGGAGTTTCCATTGTTAGAAGATTATTGACTCAATGCAGAGATATTTCCTTACCTATATCGCTGCAGCTTTTTGAAGGACATGTATAGGAACCACCTTGAAGTGCTGCAGACGAAGATCAAGTTGTTAAGAGTGTAAGAAGAGCTCAAAAGTTTTAAAGAACTTCAGTGGTGACATAGGAGAAGGGGAAAATATTATTGGGAGAGATTCAGGATTTAAAAGCGCAGCTAAAGTGTTACACTGATCCTTCTCTTACGTCAGCTAGGAAAAGAGGTTTCATGCTTAGGCGAAGATATACTTGTGACTGTAATCAGACAGACTCCACCATTTACTACAATTTCTGAGTCATTGGACGATATTCCTGAGATATATATACTGATTTCATCTTCTGATTCTATTATTTTTGGTTTGTTACAATCGATTTGGGTTTTGATTCAGATAGACAATACCTGCAACTGCTAGCACTAACTATTGTACAAATCACGTATATACACCAAACCGGCGCAATAAACCAAAATGATAAACGGTGTCGTTTCATATAATACCAAAAAAAACTCTTCTGTAATTCTGTTTCTCAATCTCAACGTCTCTCAGGGATTTGTCTACTTGTTTTCATCTACTTAAAATTCAGTAAAGCCGGTTTAATTTGGTTTGAGGCTATCTCCAGACTCCAATGGGAACAAGAGGGATGTGTTTCAGTTTTGATTGCTCTCATACTAAGATATCTATTCCTAAATGTGAGCTTTCTATTTTCCAAATCATCCCTCTGGTTTTTTAAGAGCTGATTATGTTTCTTCATCTTCATGGTTATATGTGATTACTAATTTGCTCTACTGTTGCTTCAGATTCTTGGAACAATCATGGCAATGGGAAGGCTTAACAGAGCAGGCATCATGGTTTATGGTGGAACCAGCAAGGTACTCTCAAGTCTCAACCTTTCAAGTTTCCTAATTGAAGTTCCTTAAACCCTTGTGACGACTAGTTAGATAGCTTATTCACCTTGCTTTGATTTTATTGCAGCCTGGCCATTTGTAAGACAAAACATATGACATAGTATATGCTTTCCAGGTATCTTTGCCTTGTTATAACAATATATCCTCATTGTTTCGATTTGTAATGTTTACTATGTTACTGTGACTTTAATCAGGCTACTTAGTACCATTTTGAGTCAGCGGATGAGAGTCCTGAGAAGACAGTAGAACAAAAAGACTTTGTTGGGCTAAAGCAGAGAGCAACTGGATCTCTGTTGCTGAGGAATTAAGAACTGTGCTTGATACCTATAGGACTGTAGTGGAAATGCAGGAACGTGAACTGGACTCCGAGAAAAGATGTGTAGGAGAGTTAGAGGAAGCAAGACAGGGGCAGACCTGGAAGAGAAGCATATACAATTGCTTGCAAGACCTGGAAAGATTTGAGAAGGAATTGACAATGTTAAAAGAGCAGCAGCCAGACTTGCATAAGAAATTTCAGCTTTGAAAGCGCAAAAAGAGAAGGAGGCACAATAGTTCAGGGATGTGAACAAGAGTCTCCAGTCTTAGCTAAGAGATACAGTTGACACGTTTCAAGCCGCAGGAGAGTTGCTTGTTCAACTTAAAGAATCTGAAGAAGGATTTAAAATTCCAGAGGTACATATGACGTTACATTTCTTAACTTTTAAACTAACTGCAATGTACAATATTATGATTCTTTCTTGTCATGACCACAACAGCTATTGCTTGTTCAAAGCCTTGCCAGATGTTCCTGAAAATGTATATCACCACCAGTTTAGGCTAGAAAAACACTGCATTGCAATTTTCATGGTTATATGCATATAATCCTAAAGAACACCTAAAATATTCATCTCTTGGAAAGACAAAGTCTCAGTGAAAATGGCTAGTCTGATAGTTGCATCAAAATACACAGATATCATAACCATTCAAGCCACACATTCATTGACAGTACAACATCTGACGATAAAAACTATCCTAATCAATAATCCAATCATCAATATGTAAGAACGATTTCTAAATTTTCAGCCAAGCTTGCTATAAAATGTAAATCGAACGGGCATTGGAAACTTACCACATTGGTCTTCTCAAAATCCAAAAGACTATCTGCGAGTCATTTCTATTTCCTCGATGCCACTTAAAGAAGGCTGTGACGAGTGTGTCTTTTCATATTTGGTGCCGCTTGGTTCACCTACAATAATTCAGAATGAAGTTATTAAGAAACCAAAAGAACTGTGTGAAAAAATGAGATTGAGAACTTACCGTAGAAAGCCATAGATGTTCCCTCCCCAGCTTCAATTTCCCACCTATGCAACTTTTCTAGAAGAGTCGTGGTGTCCTTGTCTGATTCTGTATCTTCTTCACTAGGTGGTGGCTCCCAATGCTCCACAAGAGGAACCAGCCAATTCACTGTTTGAAACATGTCTGGTCTACTTTCAACCTCTTGAGAAGTGCAGTATTCAGCCAATTTCGCAATCTTCTTGATGCTCTCAATGGTTTCTTCGTCTGTTGCTATAGTGCCATCAATCAAGTTCAAGAATGTTGTATCTTTAATCTTCGGACGTAACCACCTGACCACATTTTGTTCATCATCACGCAATGTCTCATCATTTGCTTTTCTTCCTGTGATCAACTCCATTAGTATCACCCCGAATGCATAAACATCCGCCTTTTTTGTGACCCTCTTAGAACCTACGAATATATTTTGAAAATAATTAAATTAGCACAAATACTTATACATATAATAAGCTGATGAAGATTAAGTCAGTTTATGATAATCTAACTTACCAACATAATCTGGATCAATATAACCAAAGGTTCCCACCACTGTTGCAGTCTCAACTGAGTCGACTCCCTCGGGTAAGAGCTTCATACAACCAAAATCAGAAATCTTCGCTCTCATGCCATCTCCTATAAGTACGTTGGAAGGCTTCAAGTCTCTATGGATATAGTTTCTTCTCGCAAGACCATGAAGATACTGAATCCCCCGTGCGATATCCAATGCTATGGCTATCCTCTGAGTCCATGTTAAAGGGATATACCCGCGGTTACTCCACTCGAACAAATGGTGCGCCAATGTTCCAAGAGGCATATACTCGTACACAAGCAGCTTCTCATTGCCATCAATGCAGAATCCAAGAAGTGGAACCAAATGCTTGTGTCGAAGACTAGTAAACACACTAATCTCATTGTTGAATTCACTCATCGCCCTTTCATCAAGCACTCCAAACTCCATCTTCTTAACAGCGATAGTGGTGCCATCACGTTGTACTCCTCTGTAAACGACCCCAGAACCACCTCGGCCTAATACATTTTCCTCACTGAAATCGTTGGTGGCTCGACGAAGAGTTTCTATTGGGTAATGGTTTTCATCACGATCATGTCCAGTAATCAATGCACAAACCAGGATACTAAAGGTGATCAAAATGAGTCCACCTCCAACTGTGCTTGCAATGACTATGCCCGTAGTCACTCCATTGTCTCTTGACATGTGTCTAAGCAACTGATTCCCGGGTTTATAAACAACCTTTATGTGTTTTGGAAGCCTCGGTATTTCTCCAGTGAGTTGGTTGTTTTGGAGGTTAACCTCAACCAACTCAGGGAGCAAACTGATCGCCGATGAAATCACTCCACCTAGCAATAAACCAGAAATGTTAATTGAAATAACCCGGTGGTTGATGTGGTTGCACTCCACGCCTTTCCATTTGCAGTATGCAAAGGAAGACCGAGTGGACCACCGAGGTGGATGCGGCTGAAAGGCTCTCGAGACTGCAAGCATTGCAGCTCCATCATCATCTTCTGAAACACTAACAACTGCCAGAATGGCGAAAACGGTGAAGAGAATCAACTTCATCATACCTGTCAAAAACAAAGTTGTAGTGTGTTAATTGTGATCATTTAGGACTATATAAAAGAGATGGAAATATTACATGTACTAATCTATGTATTATATGATTTCGCTCAATTCACTCTTTTGTACATGTTAGTTCCACTATCTTGTTTGTTGTACACCTCATATGCTTTAACATTATAGTAAAATGTTCTTAAGATGTGTCCAAATTATCCAAACATAATGGCATCATGAGGCTAAGAAAAGAGTGATCAACTGTGATGTGGTGTTGGTTGAGCATTACATGCTACATCAAGAGAGTTTAGAACAAGATCATGTGACTATTGAGGCTGATACTAATTCTTCATTGCAATTTCAGGAAACATAAAAACAGAGGAAGAAGAAGTCGGGCCATCAATGAAGTGTCTGCAAGAACGAGGAAGAAGGAGATCGATGCAATTCTGGAACTGGAAGGAAGACACTCAATCAAAGAGATTGTTTTCTCTTGATTAGTTCATAAGAAGAAGGCTGTTTAAGATACAAGAAGGTGTACAATCACTAGTTGTTTTGTGGTGATTCACTAGTTATTATGACGAAAATCTGCTGCAATTAGTGTTGAAGGTTAGTTGAAATAACAGCAATGAAACACATATTCTGAGTAATCAGGGACAGATTAGGTTTTTCAATCTTGGTGCTTTTGACTGTTGCAATATCTGGATCATGTTTTGGGGTTCATGTAGAGAATAGTTGCAGATGAGTTTCAGACAAAAAAACTGAATCAAGTAATCTGTTGAAATATAACAGGTTCATGGCTTTGAAGAAATTCAAACTTTTGGTGGGAATTTTGGTGAAGGATCGGTTTCAATGGTCAATCTCAGGCTCTTGAAAATCTGAGAGGATTATATGGTGTAGTGATCAGGCTAAAGAAAATCTTTAGAAGTATACATCGACAAAGAAAGAGAGCCTTGAAAGTCAAGCTGGGACAAGAACAAGACACGCCTCAGGAGAAGGTTTGGACGACTTCAGTTGTTTGTGAGCAACCTGCAGGTGTTTACTGAGACAATGAGTTTCTGGTGAATACCAGGTACTGGTTTTACTTTGTGAGGTCTCGGTAGTGTATGTGGAAAAGTGTGAGTATCATTAACCAGTTGTGTCTCTGCAAGTTTCTCCAAGATGTGACTCTGATGAATGCTTATGAGGTTTCAATGGTTACATCTGGGAACTTATGACTCTTGTTTACAAGACAAGTAATGGTGTGTTTCTGGTTTCAAAATGATATTATGGTTCGCTCTAAGGGTTCAAGCTGAGTAAGATGTAACGAAATCAGAAGTAACATATTGCAGAATCTTGTGGTTTTGCCACACGAATCTTTGCAAATTCAGCTTGTGAGTTGTATTGCATCAAAAGGTTATGAATTTCATGAGTGGTTGCGGCAAAGAAGAGAGGTAGGTTCAAGATTTCACGAAATAAAAAAGCAGTATCTGATTGTGGAAAAGAATCGGAGCAAGAGATCCGCTGCAATCACTAGTTGTTTTGTGGTGATCTCTGTTGTTGTTTTCTGGATGCTCATGTACTTACTGCTAAAATGCTAAAATCAACACTTTGATGGAACACAAGATTCACATACTGAAAGTTGTTATCAGAATTAATGTTTAAGTTTATGAATTGAGAAAAGGTCTTCTGGAGTTTCAGTCTTTAGGATAGAAATCAGGTTCATTGAGTTCATAAGAGTATGTGTCCGAGACAATGAAATGTAGCAATGTCCGTTGTGGATGTTGTTTTAGCTATGCAAGTAGCAGAATCAATGTTCGTATAGAGTGAGGTTTGTATGGGAAAACAGCAGACAATGAATTATCTATACCTTAATCAGAACAAAGGCTCATGTAGAATCTGAACAGATTGCGGGTTGTAAGTATCAAGATCCTACACAAGTCATCAAAGATTGTATTGTATCGGCAAACATAGTCCAAGAAAGGGATTTATTGGTGGTAATGGCTGAATTGTTAAAAGTTTTGGGTTTAGGCGAATGAGATGAGATCTTGACAACATATCAAGGTCATATAAAGATCATCGTGATGGTGTTAGTTGTCGTGACGTTTCAAGTTAATTGAATCAGTGCTTCTAGGTTGGGTGTGTTTGTCTGTTTTGTTTACACAGACAAAGAGAAAACAACAACACAGAGTATACCAACATATTCTCAACCCAGATGGAGAGACATCTTGTGGAGGTAACTAGGGTTTGAGTGGCAGAAACCAATGAGGATGAAATCGCTTGATGAGCGACAGCGACCAAAAAAATAGGCAAGGATAGAGTCGTAACCGTTAAAGGAGTCGCTGCAACTGTGAATAAGAGTCGCCGTTACTGTTGAGGTGAGCTGCGACAGCTGTCGCTTGAAATTCCAGCGACTCTGTTTTATCCCCAGCGACACGTCGTCATCGTCGTTTTGCCTATGCCGATGTCGTTTTGCTTTGTTGAGGGTCGTCGTCACCGTCCTTTTGATCTGTCGCAGAGATATTCGCCGGCGACTCTTCCCCGAACAGAGCCGTACTGCTTTGGAAGGGGAAAGTAGATCGATTTAAAACAAAATTCAGAGACAGTCACTGTTCGTCCAGAAAAAACAGTCACTGCAAGAAGAAGAACCAGAGACAGAGGAAGAGATGTTAGTGAGCATAGTGATCGGAGTTGTGTTCAATAACTTCTACAAACTTCAAAAAAAAAAAAAAAATATACAAAAGCATACGCAGACATCATCTTTCTAAAAATAGGTTGGTTCTTTCCTTGTTTGGCATGTTCAAAAGAAATATATTATATATTATTTGAACTAGTAACGGAAATAACAGTCAAGTAAGTGGGGTACAGTCTTCTGAATTTCTGATGGTGTATTATTCTCTGGCAAAGTTAGAGATCAATTATCGTGTTTTGTGTTTCAAAATGTTCTACTTTATTTTTGTTCTTAAATTTTTTTGTTAAGGTCTTCTAATTTTTTTACCCGGTTATATCCATATCCGATCCAAATTATTAGATCTTTTTAGGTAACTATAAATAAATTATCTTTTTGGATCAAGATAAATTATTTGAACACATAAAAGTATGAATGGATTGATCACTACTAGGAGTACTATCCAGTTTACATGTTTTAATAGGTAATTAAAAAAAATGCATTTTAAAATAAATACTCAAAATTACTCAAATTATATTCATCCATTAAAAAAAAATCTAAAATTTTCTAAAAACATTCAAAATACTGGAATTCAATTATGACATTTAGGGCTGGGCATAAAACCTGAAATCCAAAAACCGATCCAAAAAAATCTGATTCCGAAACCGAACCATATAGTTATAAAGCCCGAACGGATAATGAATTTTCCTATACGCGTTATTCGAACCAAAAGTATATGCGAAAACCAAAATAAAATTATATCTTCAAAATATATTAGTTATAATGTAATATCAAATAACAAAAATATCCAAAATAACCTAGATATTCGAAAATATTTAGTGATATTTGTTATAATTATACAGTTTTTTACAAAATTTAACCAAATTTTTAAGTTTTTTTTCCCGAAAACTAGTTCGAAACCTAACCGAATAGTCATAAAACTCGAATGGGCAATAAACTTTCTTACCTGAATTATCCGATCTGAAAAAATCCGAACCAAATCCGATCCGAAATTGGAATATCCAGATCAAATGACATTTATCAATTCTAGTGAGATTTCAGATATTGATTTTAAATAACAGTTATCTAATACCTAACCATTTTAAAATATTTATTTTTGAATAGTATTTTAATGATCGTTATCCGTTATTTATTCGAATAAACATGTAATGTAGATTCCGTCGAAATCAATATGTATGATAAATCAAATTATTAGATTAAAATATAGTTTTGTGAAACTTTTTCTTTATAAAACACTTTAGCAGTGGGATAACTTCAACACATTTATGATTTATATCTCTTATTTACTTTTGTTTTTTCGTTTCACAAAAAAAAAAAAGTTTAATTCATTCATTAAATTCAATTCACTTTCACTTTTCCATATTAATTTGATTCATAAATACCCTGACACCAACTGGTGGGGAAGAAATCAGAGACGAACCAAGCAGTTCAAGAGCCTATCCTCAGGCAGGATGCAAATTCGGACGGGTAACCACGTCATAATGCCTGCAACTGCAACTGCAAGTGCAAGGCGAATATATAAGAATCAACTCATCAGTCATCACATGGTCCATGAATCATCATTTACAGATCCTACATTTATACATTAGGTACCTATCTAGTTTAAAATTATTACGTTTAATCATTTAGATTTTAATATTTACAAACATTTTCACTAGTTTTTTTTTCAACATCTTAGTCAATGGTTTAGTTTTGACTTTTTTTCTTCTTCTTTAAATTAAAATAATTATGCCAAAACATCTTTCTTTTTTTTTTCTCCGCTACAGTCTCCTTCAAGATTGAGAACAACAAATATTTTACAATTCTGCTCTTCGACAGTCTCCAGTGACGCAGTGTTGTTGCCACTACCTTCCCATCACACATCTATTTCAAATTCAGCTTCGTTTGAATTTTCCTAATCTAGGGTTCAGGGATCAAGTGGGTTATGTTGAGAAATTCGAAATTTGGGTCCGATTAGTGTTTGGTTCCTGTAGAAGACGAAGTGTGTGGAAACTTGGAGTTTTAATGGAGCCTTGAATGATCTCAACATCAGAGCTTTCACTAGCGGCGGAGCTCACACACTTTTCTTCGCCGGTGATTTCTTTATCTCTGACTTGCTTAATGATGAGGTTGCAATGTGATTTGGTAATAAAAGTAGAATTTTGTTTGTTGATGACTATTGAATTGAGAAAGCCAGAGACTTGATGAGATTAAGTCACTGAACTTGCCAAATTTGTGATCGCCACACTTCAAAAGTTGTTTGTTTTTGTTCTTGTGTTTCACTCTCTGCTTTCATTGTGATTGGAATTAACATAGACTTTGTTACTTGCTTTATGTGTTTAGCACACAATGTAAGCAATACTAGTGCATGCTTTAAAACTCCGCAGGCGGTTG